TCCCCCTTCCTCCCTCCCCTGTGGGGGGGGGGGGCAGGTTCTTCCCATTATTGGCTATATTTCAAAAGGTATGAGCAATCCAGGGAGGCCAGACATTCAGGTTATATTGTGTCTAACTGAGGGAAGGTAGTTTTACCTACAAGATAATCCTGGAAACATTTAGGGCTTGGGTGCTGCCTCCAGCCACTCCTCTCCACCACATTTTGGGTTTTAGCCCCTCTTTATTTTTAGGGTCCCATGAGCCTCTTGTGCTCTACCCTTTAGGTATATCCTCCACACTCTTCCACACACTCAACGATCTGGACCTGACGGGTTTGCATCCCCATCCAGCTAACACACGCCTCTGCATTTTATCTCATCACCTCTCCAGAAGAAACCTCCCAAGGAAGCAATTTTCATAACTGTGGTCCTGTGTCACCTTTCCTACAAGACACCTGTTGGGAAATATAGGGCTAAACTGCTTCATGGCAGACGTTTTAGACAGGTGGCATATTATTCACAGCAGGATTCCAGGCCCTTTCAGAGTGCTACCAGGCCTACTACATTTGCCATTTCATTTATTGTAGAAATTGGATGTAGGGGCTAGGGATGTGGTTCAGTGGGGTAGAGTGCTCACCTGGCACACACAAGGCCCTGGGTTCAATCCCCAGTACTGCATAAACCAGGTGAAATAGTGTATGTTTGTAATCCCTGCACTTGGGAGGTAGAGGCAGGGGCATCATAAGTTCAAGGACATAGCTATCTGGATGTAAAATGTGAATTGCCAGTGTGACGGGGAAATTTTTAAAGCCAAACAAATCAAAACCCAATTCTAAGTGTTCCTTTTAAGTATTTTTTTTTCTTACAGACAGAGAAGAAAATTTTGATCAAGGCAGACTCCTGGAAGACAGTCTGCTGGGCTGGTGAAAACATACCAGCCCACATTCAAGTACAGTTCTGTTCATGTTGAAGCCACAAACCATGAGAATAAAACCCATGGACCATTCTTACTACACTTGTAACCTTAGACACCTGTACCACTAGTGTACGCTTTCAGAAGCAATTCAGAATTCTTGGCTAAGAACACCATCACCTCTTCCGCTGCCTTCGTTCAAGTGAGCTGTGTCTTATGTACCCTTGGATGTTATAGAGCACTTCTAATGAGAAGGCCGACAGCTCTGAAATGTCCGTCCCTCTCCCTACAGTCAGGCCCTGTCTTGATCCTTTCCCATCACCCACTTGCCCTTCGCTGCCGCTCAGTGTCGATTCTGTTTCCCTCTTTCTCGTCCCCAATGGAGTTGTGGTCATGTGGAATGGAAAGGGTCGTGTGGCTCTTTGCAGCTCATCCAGGTGAGGTCAGCTCAGAAGAGAAGTGGGAAGAGGATATCTGGGATAAAGTTCCTGGGAAAACACTTTTGTGTCGCTGCTGAGAGAGGGGACCCCTTCCATGAAGCTGAAGCTTGGTGAAGACCCAGAGCTCGTGGCTCCCTTAAGCTCCTAAAGGATCTAACTGAATTCCATTTAGAAACTTGGATCTTAACATCCTGGGACATAAGCAGATGTTGATGTAGCTTGCTAGACTATATGGTTTGCAAAGGGAACAAAGTGGGTGTTCAGAGGTTACCCATTTTCATAGGCTGGACAGGTTCAGTGGAATGCACTCCTCTGCTTACCTTAAATGCCTAGAGCGCTAGACTTTACTTGACATCATAAGTTTACATGAAGGCACTCTGATAACACAAGTGTATGCCATTTGTATCATTTATTCCTTTGCAGAGTCAACTTGGGTTTAATATTATCTGAACACACTCATACATGCACACACACACACACATACACACACACATACACACACCCCTGCAGCAAGAAAAATAGATTATTTGGAATTATGACATGATCACCATGGTATGTCTGACTTAATCATTCAGAGTTATCAAGAGCAAGCATTCTAAGTGAAAAATGCTGATTATTATTGCCATCAGCACACATATGTTACTTTGTGGTCATAAAACATTTTTATGTGAATGTCCCTTCAATCTGGAATTCCAGTTTCACAGTGTTGAGTAATTAAGACCGTTTATATAAGATTTGTCTGCATCTCAGTTCATAACTGAATAAATAAAACTGTATTTAAGTTAATGTAACATTGGCCTCTGCCAGAAAAATACAATATGTAAGCATTAAAAACTCTATGTGGCATTATCAAAGGCATTTGTCATTTAGTACAATTTAAATTTAAAAGTGAATTTATTAGCAAGCACCTATGTATCCAATTTATCACTAATTACTTAAGGGACATAAACTTGAACAGATTGCTTATTTAAATAGTTTATCTGTTTCAAGAGCATTTTGAACATCTCTCTGGTGAAATGGTTCTCCCCATAGCTAGTCAGTAAAATCTCAAGTGTTTCAAACTATAGTTTTAAAAGCTGTCTAAATGACCATAGCTGTTACAATATAGCTGCACTTAGTATAAGTACTTGAATTCCTTAAATGTTCTGCCACACAAAAGTGCTAGTTAAAACCCAGGTTGATAACCTTTCTAATCTTCTAAGGGTGTGTCTTTGTCTGCTTTCACTGCTATAACAGATTACCCAAGGCTCAGTAATTTGTAAAGAAAAGAGATTTAATTTGGTTCAGGGTTCTGAAGGTTGGAAGGTCCAAGAACATTTCTCTGGTATCCCGTCACTGGTTGTAAGAGCCTATTGCCAGTTCATAGCCTGGTGGAAAAGAAGGAAGGAAAGGGCAGGACAGGAGGGGTGGGAGGAAAGGGTAGGACAGGAGGGGTGGGCTCATTCCATGGCAACACATTCTCGTGGTAACTGACCCAGTAAGACCCCAGAGAACTGTGATAACCACTTTTAGCAACCTAATTACTTCTGAAGACATTTTTTTCTGTGCTCTGGGTGTGACCCAGGATTCCACACATGCGCAGTGTGTGTTCTACCACTGAGCTTCACACCCAAAGCTTCTAATCATGTCTTAAAAGCCCCACCTCCCACAATGGCAATCAAATCTCAGCTCAGTTTCAGGTGGAACATACATTCAAGTCAGAACAGAGTGTCTTTGCAATTTTCTTTATTTCTACCTTTGTAGAAATGAAATGAATGAAGTCACAGATTAAACAATTTTCACATTAGAAGGCTGGTATTTCAAACTGGGCGATTACTGACTTCAACATATACACAGGTATTGGGGCATTCTCGGCAGGATTTCCAGCTACTTTTAGCTATTTTTCTGCACGGTGCATGCTGCCTTCTGATAAATGTCTCCCTGAACCCCACCAACACCATTGTCATTCTGAGACAACAGAGCGAAGAGGCTCTGGGTTGTTTACATCAACCTCCAGCTCGCATACCTTCTGCATCTGGTTTTGGCCAATAAAGATGAATATCTACCAACTTTGAATCTGTTTTGTTTCATATTTTATTATTTTATGTGTATGAATGCACTGCCTGCGTGCGTGTAAGTACACTTGTGTCATGCAGTGCCTACAGAAGTCAGAAGAGGGCATTGGATCCCTTGGAACTGGAGTTACGAACCATTGTTAGCTGCCCAGTGGGTGTTGGGAATTGAACCCAGGTCCTCTGCAAGAGCAGCCAGTGCTCTTAACCACTGAACCATCTCTCCAGCCTCTCCACCCTATATTTGAGATGGGTCTCTCTCTGAACCTGGAGTTCACTGATTAGGCTAGACTAAATGGCCAGCAGCCTTGATCAAGGATCAACTTCCCTCAAACTTCCCCCCAACTAGCATTTTAAGTGTGCGCCACCATGCGTGGCTTTTTATGTGGGTGCTGGGAGTCCAAGCTCAGGTCCACATGTTTGCATAGCAAAAACTTTGCTGACTGAGCCATCACCACAGCCCTAAGTCATACATTGTCTTTTACAGTTCCTGTCTCCCAATGCATGAATACATTTATTTTTCCCAACCAGATCATTTATCTCTGTAACTCTGAGGCACATCACACATTAATTCATATGCAGAGTCATCTATGAAAAACTTCATTTTTCTCCTCACAGACTTTGTTGGTCTAGTGGAAAGAATATATAAATGGCTGGGGCAGAGGATGGATTTGGGCAGAGCATAGGATGGAACCCCATCTCTACCACTCAAACCAGGTGTTTTCAAGTCAACTAATTTCTGTGTGTGTTCTACTGAATGCATGTCCTCTCACAGTACTGTGTCCCTCATTGAACAGGAGGCACCAAGATGCCTGCTGGCGACTGATGTATTTTACTGCATACCTCCTCTTTTCAACAGGCATAGATCAGTTTCCAATCAGGAGCAGATGGGAATACACACTTTGTCTATGTTGCTGTGGACAGGGTTTCATGATTTGCATAACCCTTGAGTCCTCTCCCTGCTTTGATCATGAAATCTTTCTGGCCATTCAGCAAATATTTCTACAATCTAAATTCCTATCATATTTTTCTGTTCTCTGGTTCAGAGTTTCAAACTGCCCCATAGACCAAGGCCTAACTAGCATTTGAAGATATTTTATAAGGGTTAGGTTTTATAACGTATGTTCTTTCTTCTTGAACTTCTAAAAGAAGGTGAATTTACAACCGTCTTCTATTTTGGTTTAATTCATTGCTTGTAGCTACTTTCCTCCCTTGGAAGGAAAGCTTCCACATCCTCCACAGAGAAAGAGGGACAGGTAGCAGTTTCCTTCTGACCTTCAACCTTGTGCGCAGTGCCTCTATAAATCCTCCACTGCCCTCAACAATCCAGCACTGGAAGACTAACATTTCTGCAGAGTTTTTAAAGTGTAAGCTCAGCTGATATGTCACCATGCAAGTGTTCACCATGCAAGACACAAAGTGAATGGCTAGTCAGTTATGAAAAAAGACCAGGTGGACATGGAGATTTGTCGTCAGTGTTTTGTGGGTTTAGAGTTTATTACATTCGAAACATAAATTTGCTTAAGTAAAATTATTCAACTGTCTCCTTAAACATATCACAGAATATGTTAGAAACATTGTTCTTTTTTCTTTCTTTCTTTCTTTCTTTCTTTCTTTCTTTCTTTCTTTGGTGTTTTGGAGACTGGGTCTCCCTGTAGCACCAGCCGACCTGGAACTCGCTATGTAGACCAGGCTGGCTTTGAACTCACAGAGATCCACCTGCCTCTGCCTCTCCAGTGTTGGGATTAAAGACTTGTGTTACCATACCTGGCTAGAAACATTGTTCTTATATTGAAGTAGATATTTACTTTTGGGTAATTCTTATTTTTAAAAGATAGTTTTCAATAATATTATTAGGTACAATTAATTATAGATGCTTTACATATATTATTCTGATATCTAAAATATTTTAAACAAGATATTATCAATGAAAATGAAAGCTTTAAATATTTATATATTTATTCATTTGGGTTTAACAATTTGTTATCTCTAGAAGATTAACTGAAATTTCCATTTAAACAACAAAATGTTACAATAAGGTCATGCACTGTAGGTGGTAACATCTTTCTATCATTAATTTGAGCATGGATTCTGAATAAAAAATCTTCTACAAAGCTAAATATAAATTCATAGTTTTAGTATACATTAAAGATGAAGAATAATAAAATCTTGTTTATTTAAAATGTGAGTCATCCAGTCATGGTTAAGATCTGGGTCTTTGGTGGAGGAGACTTGTTTAGTAGAGTGTAGGCACTGTAGAAATATTAATCAGAGGATTATGATGGTAACTTAAAAAATAATCAGTAGCCTAAAAATCCTGATTGCTTAAATTCACCCTCCTCCTCCTTTTTTTGAGATAGGATCTTACTCTGTAGACAAAACTGACCTGAAACTCACTATAAAGTCCAAGCTAATCTTCAAACTGGTGAATTCCTCCTGCCTCAGCTTCCTGAGTGGTAGGATTAGAGCCATGAACCTGCCACCCCCAGCTAAATTAACCATCTTCAAAATGCCTCCAATCTTTCCCCCTTTAAGATGCCTTCTCATGTCTACATTTACAGGGCAAACAAGACTCGGAGATAAAATCTTGCATTTTATTCTAAATTACAAACGCTGTCATTCACTTCATCGCTTAATTTTTTTTTTTTGTTTTAGCAGAGAATAAATTCCTTATAATTCTTAGAAATAAAAGCGGGTCATTTTCATTCTCTGAAAGCCTCGTTTGCTAGGCTCCACTCCATCAGCTCTGCTTGCCCGGTGGTGGCGCTCAGTTCTTGTATTCCCCGTGAAGCTTTTTCTTCCCCCAAGGAACGTGATTCAGAGCGAACGGGGACTTGATGTTGCGCCGATCCCTCTCCGCCTCCTCCTCCTCGTTGTATCGCCCATCCTCATTTCCTTCATCTTCCACATCACTGCTCTGAGGACTGGACGTCTGAGATCCTGATGGAGAAGGCGGGACTGAAGAAGGCCTGGGGTATTTAAACCCTTCCGTCTGCCAAAGACAAAAATCAGACACGGGTGTAAGTAATGGCTTGTTTTTATTTTAAAACGATGTGTATATATGGGGGGAGGGTAATATGTGCACGTGAGTACTTGTGCCCATGGGGACCAGAGGTGCCAGATCTGCAGGTGGTTTGACCCTCCTAGTGAGGGTGCTGGGAACTGAACTTGGGTCCTCTGCAAGAGCAACCACTCTTAACTGCTGAGCCATCTCTCCAGCTCTGACTTCCTAATTTTCAATGATGGAGACAATATTCATGCACATTTAATTTTTTTAAGTAGTCAGCTGTGATCTTTCAGGCACTATTGAACTTTGATCCTGGTGCCCTTAACCCACAAAGAAATTCAGTAAATATGCAGTGATCCTTCATTAAGCAAGGAAATGACCAAATGCTACATATTTTATATAACTTAAAATTTTAACAGCATCCTAATAAATTTGTTCTTCTTGTTTGGGGGGGGAGAGAGAGAGGGAGGGGAGAGGGGGAGAGAGAGAGAAAGAGAGAGAGAGAGAGAACTTCTTGATGGAATTTCTAAATAACAGTATGTGAGTGGTACAATGAAATTTAGCCAAGTCTATGATGATCCCAGGACCTTTAGTCTGGACTTCCATGCGTGGATACCATCAGTGTCTCTGACATCCTTAAGATTTAAGTTGCAGAACTTCAGACCATTGACAGGCACCACTGGAGAGGATCCTGGGTGCCAGGCCACTTAGTTGATCCCAAAATCTTACCAGTTACTGTCATTTTAGTAGAAGCAAATATCACAAGGTCTGAATGCAACTGCCCTCCTTAGAGTCACTGAAAAAGCTCACTTAATAAACATGTGCTGAGCACCGGCCGAGGCATCATGTATCACAATGCCACCAAAGACATAGTTTGGAAAACATGATCGATCCCTGTCCTCTTAGGAGGACTTGTGCTTTGACAGCATTGATCACCCTGTATCTCAATCAGTTTTGTATATTATTATTATTATGTCATACATCTCTAGTACTTTCAGGCTTTGGGTATTTTACTTAAAAGAAGTATTAAGGAACGGCTGGAGCATGGGTAACGTAGAATGGGTCACACAGAAGAAAACTGAATCTCCCTTTCCCAGCTACCACGAACCAAGGACTCCTTGGCTAAGGGTAGGGTCTTGTGAGTACCTTCCCTCTCCATAATGGAGTATTGGCTGGTGCCCTACACCCATGTACGTACAGGAGCACTAATTAGACTCAACTGGCTATTAAAAAACATGACATTGGACGGGAGGTGAGGGTATGTGATCTAAATACCTCATATTCATATATGAAATTACGAAGGAATTTTTTAACTTTTAAAAAACTGTATTGTAATAGCCGGGCATGGTGGCACACGCCTTTAATCCCAGCACTCGGGAGGCAGAGGCAGGCAGATCTCTGTGAGTCCAAGGCCAGCCTGGTCTACATAGTGAGTTCCAGGACAGCTGGGGCTACAGGGAGACCCTGTCTCAAAAAGACCAAAAAAAAAAAAAAAGCAACAACAACAAAAAATGTATTATTGGGCTGGAGAGATGGCTCAGCAGTTAGGAACACTGGCTGTACTTGCAGAAGAGCCACCAGCTAACAACTGTCAGTAACTCCAGTTCCAGAGGATCCAACAGCCTCTTCGGTCCTCCTCAGGCATTGCACAACACAAGTACACCCGTGTACTTACCTACATGCAGGCAATACATGCATACACATAAAATTAAGAATAAATTTAAACTGTATTATTTATTTATTTTTATGTGTATGAGTGATATGCCTGCATTGCAGCTGTGTCACACTGTGCTTGCAGAGGACAGAAGAGGGAGTCAGATCTCCTGGAACTGGAGTTACAGAAGGTTGTTAGACACCATGCGGGTGCTGGGATTCAAACTCGAGTCTTCTACAAGAACAACTAGTGTTCTTAACCTCCAAGTCAGCTTTCCAGCCCCCAAAGAATTTTTTTTTTAAAGAACTAAATCTTGTACTTAGGACTGCAGACAGAGGAAGAGATAAATACGTATTAATTGAATAAAAATATAAATGGGTGAATTCTGTTGAATTAGCAAGCAGAGTGTCTGTCTGCCTTTGGGTAAAGGAAGCATTCGACTCTGAATGCTAGCATTGTAATCAAGGGGGTTGGAACTTGAAGATGGGGAGATGACGAAAATCCTCCTCCTCCTCTATAAGCTAATCTTTCCATATCTCTTCTGATAGAGATTTGAGACAGGCAGGATATAAGTTGTGTCACAAGGCAAAATAGTCTTGGTAAAAGTGATTCCTGCTTGAGATGTTTGATCAAATTGCACTCGAACTTGAGGAATTTATGAGAACTTGATTGTATTGGATAGTTTGAGGGGTGTCTTTCCAAGTGATAACTCTCGTCACTCAGCGTTTTTATTGAGAAAACTGTTAAAGCCTGTGGAGGTTTGCTGGGGAGGAGCTCCTGAAGGACACAGAGCTACTAAGCAAGATGGACCTTTTTTGTTGCTTTATTTAGGGCAGACTCCCACTATATTGCCCAGGTTGGTCTCAAACTCATGAGTTCAAGTAATTCTCCTGCCTCAGTCTCCCGAGTAGCTGGGACTATAGATGCATGCCCCTACCAAGGTGATCTTGGGTACAATGATGACTCAGGCATGAGCAATCTATAGCCCCTAGGCTACCTGTGAATGCATGTAGCCAAGATAACTATGAATGTGGCCTACCACAAAATTGGAAACTTATAAAACACAGTATAAGCTTTTTTGATGATTAAAAAGAATGCAGCTCCAGGCTGGAGAGATGGCTCATCAGTTAAGAACACTGCTGTTCTTGCAGAATACCCGGGTTCAAATCCCAGCACTCTATGGCAGCTAACAACTGTCCATAGCTCCAGTTCCAGGGGATCCGACAGCCTCTTCTGTCTTCTGAGGGCATTGCATGACACGGGTGCACTTACCTACATGCAGGCAATACACACATAC